TGTATTTACTTGGGTGTGGGGGGTGGCAGCAGCATGCTCAGTGGCAGACGTAGAAGTGAACCAGAAGCACTTCTGGTGCACTTCCAGGTCTGCCACAGAGTGCGTGGAGGACTCCCTCAGCTCAGCAACTGTTGTCTCCTTGGTTGGGGGGGGAGGCACGTGGGGTCCCCCCACAGCTGATTGCCAAGCTGGGGAGGGTCCGGCGGGGTGCCCCACGCTCTTGGAGGTGGACCCAGAAGTGGAGCAGAAGTCATTTCAGTCCACTTCCAGGTCCACCGTCAAGCACATGGGGGGGGCACACTCCTGTGGGATGCTCCATCTGCCCCACCATCTCAGCGTTCATGAGCCGCACCCTGGTACCTCAAGGTATGTAGAAAAAACATATAAAGCTGTGTCTATGGCCGAATCGCTGATTCTCCGAATCAGAATTGAATCTTCTAATCTGGCCGAAACAAATCAGGACAGTGATCTTAATCAATGAATCAAATCACTGTCCCCCGAATTGGGCCGAATCTGAATCCGAATCGAATACAGCCTACTTCGCACACCCCTAGCAATTAGCTATTCCTGAGACACTATAATAGCTCAAAAAGGAAACTAATGAACACAGAACCAAGTTGCAATATACTACATTGATTCAGTTCAATAAACCAAAATAGTATTTAGTTAATGACAAAACTAAAAATTAACTATTTCAAAATTTGCTATTTGCTATTTTGACACTGTATACCACTTTGCAGCAAAAACTAAAGTTCCCCACTTTTATCAATTTGTAGGGTCAACATTTTGGTTTTTGACCAGCCATACAAAAAGCAGATATTACAACCTTATGTGAGGAAAGGAACAATACATAATACCTGTTTAGGAAGACGGAAGAGAGAGTTTTTGTAGAATATATCTTTGGCCTGACTCCATGTTCCATCAATGATGATGATTACAGATGGACCAGAAGGGTGCAGAGCCGTTTCTTCCAAATTAGCTGCTTCAGCTCCAGGATACAGGATTAGTGTGTTAGAATTCCTACATACAGCAGCTAACTCAGGATACCTGCAAACAAACAGAAGACTTTTTGAGTTTTTCTGGAAGAGAAAGTGTATAATAATTTTTCTTCCCACATCTACCTTATTTCACCTTCTCCAAATGTAAACTGTTCAACCCATGGAACATCACTTGCTACCATTCCTTCTTCTGAAACCTTCAATCCTACTCCTGAGACAGGAAGGGTGCATCTACACATTCATTCATTCATTTGCTGTAATTAAGGTGCATTAAATTTAGTACCTGTAATGACAGGTACTATAGGTACTAACTAAATGTGCTGTGATTGGCGCTACTACACATTAGTACAGATGAATGTTTTTTAGTAATGCTACTGTGCATTAGACTAAATCTACTGCACTTTACCATGGGCTTTGCCCACCATGCTGGCACTCAACAGAATTAGTCTGCTGTGCATTAAGCATCTCATGTAGAGGCCCCTGCAGAGGAGTTAATAGAATAATACTCAGACTCAAAGTAATGGTCAGAATGATGCTAGTCATCATCTTGATCTTGTGCTCTGCAAATCAGATGTTCTAGTTTGAGAAAAGACTCCTTTTAGATGGAAGAGTCAATCTTGATTTTAACATTTTGTATCATTCTAGTTTCTCCACCAAGATGTTAAGTACCACAAGGTCATAGGCTGGTACTTTACCACAAGTTTAAGGCCAACGTTTTAAAAAAATGACTGCTAATATTGTATTTTCAAACTGTGAGTTCTATTGTTGGATGTGAAATGATCACCCACAAACATAGCTGCAATTGATGGGACTTGGTAGCTCATAAAATCCAGAATGGTTTTAGTATCTTAAGTTAAATACTTAGCATTGACAACAGGTAAATATAAACAGAGACTATTACAGCTGACTAACCAGACTGGCTCTTCAATAAACCCAACTCATGCCAGCCCCAACTGAAAATCATAAGGAGCAAAAATAGAACTCTGATCTCCCCTCAGACAGTGATGATAAACCATTTCATTTGGTTCAGTGCAAAATTCAGCATTTATTTCCTTTAGGGAGATTTGCGCAGACACACAGAATGTTCTGAATTATTTACTTTGGACTTAAAAGTCTTATTAGGTTTTTACAAATAATTAAACATCTATACAAAGATGTTTCAGAACAACAGAAAAGCAGAGATACAAGTCACTTATCAGAATGATGGCGAATAATTTCTAAAAAAAACAAACCCCAAAACACACTTCTAGTATATGATCAAAAGCATTTCTTTAAAAAAAACCCAAAAAACTTCCATAAACAGAAATCCAAGTTTAATTTAAAAATGCAAGATTAAAGTTGCATAGATAGAGAATTAAAAATCAGGAACCATTAGTCTGAACTCTAATCCTTAATGCTGAGTTATATCCAGAGGCATTGCATGCTTCCATAGATACTGTTTAAAAGCTTCCACTTCAGATCTGAATGAAGAGTTTATAGAAAATATTTTTAAAGTAAGTACCAGTCATATCTTAGAATTCAATAGTCTACTAATTATAAAATGACACAGTGTATGTTTTTAAAAAAAACAATAACAACAACAACAAGCTCATTCATAAAATGTTAATGGCTGAGTACACAAATTCAAATACTCTGAGAAAATTCTTCCAGGTTTCTTCTCTTGGTAGAGAAACTTCGCCAAAGCTGTATGTACAGACACTCAAATGCTGAGGCCAGGAGGAGTGGAGAACCTGCAGTGCTGACACTGTGCAGCCCAGGGGGGACCCAGTGCACACATCTCAATGTGCTCTGCAGGCTCCCTTAGTCTGCCTTGTGACAGATGGCAGCAGTACACAGAGCAGCCCTGATTGGCTGACCCAGACTACACATGATCAGACTATGTTCTCATGCAGCACAATGTGGGGATTATGAAGGAGGAATGTTCTGCTCCTTGCTGAAGCAGTACAGTCCAGTGAGCAATACACTGTTTCCCTGGGGAGGGGAAGGGGGATGTTGAAGAACTATAATCTCTTCTGAGAGAAGCTCCATGGTATGTATAGACATTTGCAAGAGTGATTTACCCCTAGATTTGCCCAGGTTATTTTTCTCTTGGAGTGGTCATTTTCACTCTGAGAGAAAAGCCTGAACTTCTGCATACTCATGGTTTCTCCTGGGAAAGTAGCAACTCTCCCAAGAGAAACTAAATGTCCGTACAATGTGCTTGTCTCTGTCCTTACACATGTACCTCCCCACCCCGGAAAATGCTGACAATGTACAGACCTGATTTTCCTGAGGAGCTCAGCACCTCCCACATACCAGAAGGTGCTGAATAACTCTGGATGTGCTCAGCACCTTGCAGGCGATGGTGTACTTCCAAACATTAGAAGGCACTGTAAGTTCTCAGTACCGTGAACAGTCCAATTAAAGCCATGTCCACTGCTAGTAAAATTTATAGAATTGGCCCCCTGAGAAAGACTCAATTCTGACCACTGTTATCCATGCCTTTGTAACTTCAAGGCTAGATTACTGCAATAAACTCTATATGGGACTGCCCTTGAGGGCCATCTGAAAGATGCAGAGGGCAGCAGCCCATATTTGACAGAGGTCGGTTGCCAGAAGCACACAACTCCAGTACTCTAGAGTCTGCACTAACTTCCTGGAGCTTCTTGGCACAATTCAAGGCATTAGTCTTGACTTAGAAGTCCCTAAATACCTACGGGGACTTCTCAGCCCTTTTATGCTCCATCATGATCCCCAAAGTCAGCCAAGAAAAACCTGTGGGCCAAGTTCACTTGCTAAAACATGAAAGGTCATCTCTGTTGTTGCTCTTCAGCTCTGAAACATCTCATACTTGAGACCTGCCAAAGCAGAAGTGCTATAAAACCTTTTTATTTGTTGGGTATTCCTTGAAGAATTGTTTTGTTATGTTTTATTATTTTATCTGCTTTTTTATTAATCTGTTATTGTTAGCCACCCTGAGCCTTTTTGGGAAGGCTGGCATAGAAATCAAATCAAATAAATAAATAGATACAAAAAACCCCCAATATACATATATAATGTGGTAAAATAAGAAAGGAACAAAGTTACAAAAAAATAACTTCATGAGGTTATATATTTCTTTTACATAAATTTTTCCAAGATATATATCACTTTGATTGAGACGTGAGTTAGATATGCAGTAAATCTGGGCTTTTTCTTCTTATGTACCCCCACCATTAATAATTCTCACCTAAATAAAATATCCCTTGGGGTATGCTGAAACTCAATTATATGATAAGAAAGATCTTTCCCATTTATAGCTTGCAGAATTGACAGTTAAAGGTATTATCTTTTTTCCTTGTTAAATGAACATTTGATAAAGAGTCTGAAAAAAGTAGATATCTTAACAATATTATTTTAAAAGCTACTTGACAGAAAACTACCATTCATTCAATCTGCATCTCGGAATACAAGAAAGCCTTACCACAGAGTCTTTAAACAATCACATATTACTTCACTAACATTACTAAAAGGCAGGATTTTCTAGACTACTGCCAGATGTTCCCAGTGGGAGTTGCTGTGTGGAACAGCTCTGAAAATTGAGCCATTTTATTTAGCTGTCTAAATGGGAGTTGTTGCATAAAGAATCCTTTTGGAACATATATAAATAACATAATATATTAATTTTTACCTTACAAGCTTTGACTTGTAAGCTTATGATTACGTATATAATCGAGTATGAAATGTAATGACTGCACATAAGCAAGTAGAGTTAGAGCTAGGCAGTTATCCTTCATTTTTTTTTAATTCTTACTTGAAAAATCATAACAACATCATAGAAAAATGTCACGAGAAAGGATCTTCAGATGTTATCTAATCCACCCCTTCTGCTCAAGGCAGGATCATCCCTCTCTAAACCACCCCGAACAAATGTTCATGTAGCCTGCGCTTAAACTTTGAGTAACAATAATTCGACAAACTCCCTGTGTTTAACCTTACGCTGTACAATAGTAGTCCTACATAGTTTCAATTTTTTAACCTCAATCTACACGAATAATTTTAAACATGATGCAATACGACTCAGTAAAAACTGTAATAGCATATCTCAAATTAAAAATCAAAATCAAATAAAGAATACTCAGGCGATTTTGCATTTTGTGCATTGGAAAAATTGATAACGAAAATATATGCTACAACAGTTTGTTTCCCATTGTGTCACTGCTGGTATTAAAGAAGCACTGCTCATTTTGAAACATTACTAGCTTTAGGACACTAGTGTATCACGAAGCAGAAGTTAAATTTAATCTACCATTTCAATCAGAGCAGCCACCATGCTGATGGCAGCCTCTTTGAAGCTACCAACTCTCAAGAGGGAACTAAGCCATTTTTAAAAAGCTGTATTTTTCTAACCAATATTCTTCTCCCAGATCAGAGCTGGACTTTTAAAGATACAACTCTGCTGATCAGGAAAAAAAAAGGTTATCTTATATATGAAAAAATGATTCTTAAATAACCTGGCTTCCTTCTAAGCCTTAGCTGTTTCAAAGAGAATGCAAAAAGTTTGGTTGAAGATTCATGCAAACAGTTTAAATGAAAGCTTGTACTGACTTCAAGTACTGTACTTTTAGTATTTTCAAACCAGCTGAGATTCAACATTAATTTTTTGTACTCTTTCAGAAACAAATAATGAGAAGGCTGATGTTACTAAAGCTTTTCACAAAAAAACCTGTTGTAATGATTATTCCTTAGTCATATATGCTTCAATTCATTCTGTTTATTTTATTACATAAATTTGAATATACCATGATTATTCAAATGATTTAAAACTAATTGGTTAATGGTGACCTCTTTCATACCTATACTTAAAATTCCCATTCATGTCACTGGACTATATAGAGAAGTACAATTTTAAAATATTTTGGTAATTTTTTTTTAATGGGCTACTAGTATCCCATGTTTTTCAAAACCCTTTTTATAAAGGGTATACACAATTCCATACTAAATTTACAGCTTACATTAATACATCTAGACAGTATCAACTTCAATTTAATTTTTTTCCATTTTAAAATGTGACAAACATCACATTTCATA